GCCCCCCCCCCGTCCCCCCCCTGCCAGCACGAGGCGGACCGGCGGCCCTCGGGCCTGGGCAGCACCGACTCCGGCCAGGAGGGCTCGGGTTCCGGCGGCTTGGGTGCCTGTGAGGACGAGGCCGATGGGGACCGGGCCCAGAGCAGTGAGGACGGGGCCTCCTCAGGCCTGGGGAAGGAGGACGCGGAGGAGCGGGCTGATGGAGCATCCTGGCTGTGCGGGGACCTGTGGCGAGAGGCCCGAGCCAAGCTGCGGGGCATCGTGGACAGCAAGTACTTCAACCGCGGCATCATGATGGCCATCCTGGTCAACACCGTCAGCATGGGCATCGAGCACCACGAGCAGGCCAGTGTGGCGGCAGGCGGGGGCGCGTGGGTGTGTCCGGCCCGACTGGGCAGTCCGCCTGTGTGGCCCAGTGCCCAGCCCTGCCCGGGGTTGGAGGGACTCCGCAGGGAGTCTGCTGCACCAACGAATGGCAGGGGGGGGGGGGGGCGGGACCCGGCAGGGTGGGGATGAAGGAAGGCAGCCTTTTCCTCCTAAGCCACTCAGCCTGGACCCCGAGGTACCCACAACCCATCCCCTGCCAGTCTCTGCCAAATCTAACTCCCATTCGTCACCTCACCATGTGAGTCCTTCCCCCCAAATCCAGGCCTCTCAGGGACATTCAAGGCCCCTGTGCTCGGCCCACAGCTGCCTTCACCAGGTGGGGGCGTCTTCTGTCTCTGATGTTTACCCCCGTACACTCCGATCTCACCAGCCATGGCCCTGAGGGTGCCCGTGCAGGCTCTCCCCCTCCTCCTCGGCCAACCCTGTGGTCTGGGCACCTGGGGCTTAGGGGAGGACTGGCCATCAATGGTATTAATGGGGTTCAGGGGGAGGACTGGCCGTCAGTGTTACTGCTGGGCTCAGGGGAGGACTGGCCGTCAGTGGTACTGCTGGGGACACAGCACTGAGAGGAGTTTCAATATGAGGTGTCTGAGAAGGGACAGTACAAAAGGGAGGGGACAGCTTCTGGGAGATGGCAGGAGCAGGGAGAATGTGGACAGGAGAGGAGGGTATCGTGGGCCCGCAGGACGTGCCCAGGGTGACAGCTGGATGGCCCGTCCAGCCCTGGCTCCATCGGGAACAACGCCATGTCCTGGCTTCTGCTGTCCACCTCGCACAGTCCTGTGAGCACAGCACCCCTGTCTGGAGTTGGGTACCCTGGGATCCGCTGGGAGAAGTCCCTGGCGGCTGGGCCAGGTTTTACCCACCTCTCTCTGGGTCTGGCGCCAGGTGGTGTGACGCCTGCTCCCTGCTCCCTGCTGCCCTCTGCCCTCTGCCCTCTGCCCTCTGCCCTCTGCCCTCTGCCCGCCAAGGCCCCAGCCCGGGCCGCACTCATTTCCCTCTTCATTAGCTCGCCAAGCACAGGCTTCATTCAATTTGCTTAAACAGGGCCCCTGGGGCTGCCGTGACACACTGCTCAGAGCTGCTGGTTTGCCAGCCATTGGCTTAATTAAAGAGGCCTCTGGGGAGGGCGGGTAGGGGGGCTCTCTGCAGGGGAAAGCTGGCGAGACAGGTGGCCTAGGCCCCTCTGGCCCGGAGCCAGCCTCTGGCTTTTGCCTGGCCTAGGCCTCAGGGAGCCAGTATTCCTAGGGAAGGCCCCACAGGGGGCAGCTACAATTGGGGCACTGATAACCTCAAGGGGGCCTGACTCGGTCTTGCTGCTGCCCAGCCTGGGCTGTGCCCTGACACTCAGGACTTTTGGAAGCTAGTTATTAAACGGTTGGTAGGTTGAGATCAGCCACGGTGGGAGTATTTACACCATGGAAATTGGCATATGCTGCAAATCAGGGCTGCTGTTCCGGGCCCATTTGCCAGTCTGCTACCGACCGGGCCATCGTACCCACCCTGCCCCTTGGATCCAGCCTCCCCCTCTGTCCTCCAGCACTAGCCTCAGGCCAGGCCGTGGTCCCTTCCTGGGTCTCCTCAGGGTCTCTCTGTCCCTGCTCACTGCTTTCACCACATCCTGCTAGCTCACCTCGATTCTGGTCGGAAGTCTTTTCTGCGGCTCTGCAGGCCTCGCTGCGTCCCACCAGGCTGGGAGAGGCCGAGATCTTCACTGCAGGCTCCTGCCCAGGTAGAGGGCCAACCTCAGTCTCCTTATCTAGGAAGTGGGTGCCCTCACTGTGTCCCTCACAGCCATGGGCGGCCGTTCACTGAGCACCTACAGCCCCAGTCGGCTCCAGGCCTGGAGCTAGCGTGGTGTCACTGAGTCCTCACAGCCCCCCTCAAAGCCGGTGTGACCTCTCCCCTCTGCTCAGAGAGGCAAAATGGACCACTCAGGGTTTGGGCTTCAACCTCGTTCGGCTGTTGACTCCAGGTGGGTCGCTTGGCCTCCCTCAGCTGGCGTCCCCCATACGTGGGCACATGGATTCCTCGCAGGGTGGCCAGGAGGGCTGGATGCATGGGGGAGCCTGGAGCACAGGACGTGCTCATCACTCATTCCAGAGTCTTCTATGCAGCCTCAGCCATGGCCCTGAGTCTGCCCTCTGGAGCCTGGGAGTTCATTAGCTGAGGGCTTGTGAGGGGAGGAGGGGTCTAGAGCGTCCATTGCAGCAGCTCCGCCTGGCCACCCCTGCTGGGCCAGCTCTGTGCAGGGGCCTGCTGGCATTTTCGCCTCCTCCCTCGGGCGGCTCTGAGACAGGCGGGTGGGAACTGATCCGCCCCCATGTTTATTTTGAGCAACCCTGTCTGAGATGGCGTCACAAAGGGAAGTGGCTCAGGGCCGTGGTGTGTGTGTGTGTGTGTGTGTGTGTGGCAGGGAGGGCGGGCAGAGGGAACAGAAAGGAGGAGATGGTGGGTGTACGCGTGCAGGCCCTCCTGCGGGGTGTGACGGCAGTGGGGGTGGCGCAGGAGATGGCATGGGAGCCCACTATGCCCTGTACCCCACCTGGCCACCACACAGCTCTGTGTGCCACTGATAGTAACGAGGGGGTGTGTGGCATTTGTAAAGTGGGCTGTCGCCTTGCCTCCCTGGTCCCAGGGCTCCCAAATCAGAGGTACCTTGCAGGTGGCTCCCAAATGAGAGGTACCATGAGGGTGGTCACCCCTGCCAAGGTCATGCCTGAGCGTGTCACTGGAGCACAGCCGGCTCACCCGGGTCCCTTGGGGCAGTAGAGATTGGCCTGCAAGGGGTGACAGGTGAAGGCAGGGTCGCTCAGCCAGGGACCTGTGTGTGACTCACGAAGCACGAGGCAGTGTGGTCTGCACCCCCTGGTAGCCCAGGGAGGAGGGCCCAGAACAAGTCGCCCAGCCAGGGACCTGTGTGTGACTCATGAAGCACGAGGCAGTGTGGTCTGCACCCTGGTAGCCCAGGGAGGAGGGCCCAGAACAGGTCGCTCAGCCAGGGACCTGTGTGTGACTCACGAAGCACGAGGCAGTGTGGTCTGCACCCCCTGGTAGCCCAGGGAGGAGGGCCCAGAACAACCACGACTGTAGCTCGTCACAAGCGGGAGGTCAGGTCCCTTCACGTCTGCCTGCTGTCACACTGCCCTGGTGGCCAGGTGGGCGAGCATCTCATCCCCCGGGCACATGGGGAGACTGAGGCTCAGCCGGTGAGCTGGCTTGCCCGAGGTGACCGGGCGAGCGGGCAGGGCTGAGGACCGCTGTGGATGGTGGAGTTGGAGTGGGCGGGGGCCCGGGCTGGGACATGGCTTCTAGGAGAGTCTGTCTTGCCTTCCGCTCCCCCGGCACGCTCACCTGGCCCTGCAGCCTCCTCTTACTCTGACTTGAAGACGCTCCCAAATAGGAGAACAAAAATCAGAGGGTCAGGCTGAATGGGCGGCAGGGCAGGGTGCAGGGAGCTTCCCGGAATCGGGCGACCTCAGCCCCCTGGGAACTGCATTCAAGGCACTGGATCAGAGGGCAGTTTAAAGTGGGCAGCCTTTATTCTTCTTTCAGAAGTCCCCATTGACCCGCTGCCCACCCAGGTCTGGGTGACTGAGGAGTGGAGGAGGGGATGGCTTCATGGCTGGCATTCCAACCCTGGGAATTTGGGAGAGAGAGGACCAACATGGGTTGCAGTCAGGGGAGGCTTCCTGGAAGTGGTGGCACTAGAGATGGATCCTGAAGGATGAGTAGAGTCATCAGTGGTGGAGGTAAAGTTACAGAGATCAGGAGCACGGGCATCTCCCCAAAGGACCCTGTGCCCTCGAGAAGGACATGCATGGGGGCTCACAGCCCAGGAGGCCAGGACAGCTGTTCTTCCACAGGGCCTTGGTGCCAGCTTTATCCTTAGGGCTCTGGGGAGCCACGGAAGGCCTGGGAGCAAGGAGAGTGACATGTCTGCACTGGCTCAAGTCAGTAAAGGGAGGCAGGCGAAGGCACCTGGGCCAGAGGGAGGAGACCCGGGTTCGAGGTCACCGCCTAGCCATGTCCCGGGGCAGTCAGTCCTTCTGAGCCCCAGGTTCCCCATCTGTGTGGTGGGGCTAGTGTAGGGCTGTCGTGGCGGGCGAAGGTGAGAGAGCAGTGAGCCGCCCGGCCTGTGGGGAGAGCTCAGCGGACACCAGCTGCCATTAGGATCCTGAGGATGGCGCTGGGCCCCAGGGGCTCCCGGGGGGCCACCATCACGTGCCCCTGCAGAGGTGGCTGAGCCGGGCACCACCCAGGCCTGACGTCAGCCCCTGCCATGGCTCCCCGGCATCCGCTTTGCCATCTTGCGGCCCCTCTGCTGTCTGTCGGGTTTTTTGCGTCTCTCACTTTGTGGCTGCACCTCTGACTCCCACAGTGTCACTGTGTCATCGTCTCAGCCCTTCCTGTGTCTGTTGCCGCGTTCTTCCCTCTGTGTGTCTGTCTCTCCACGCCCCCTGCCATTGCCCTGTGTCTGCCTGTCTGCTTCTCTCCCGGGTCTCTGGCTTCTCCCTGTCCACGCACCCCCACCTGTCGCCCCCCCCACTGCTGAGTCTGTGTTCATCTGTCTCTCTCCACCCATCTCTCTCCCAGAGAAATGCTCACAGGAGTGATGGATGGTGCATTAGAAGAAGATTAACAGGTGTACGCCGACTGGGAAACAGCTGTGGCGAGGGCGGAGGGAAGCGCGGTGACCTTTCGGGAGGATGGCGTGTGTGCAGGCGCGTGTGCGACGTGCGCAGCCGCGAGCCAGCTGATGGTCATTATGGGCTGTCAGCGTCCACATTTTTCATCTCCACGGACATTGCTGTGGTGGGCTGGGAAATTGGTGACTCTGAGCAACATCTGGGCCCTGGCTCAGCCGGGGACGCCGGCCCCGGCTCTTCCCCACTGAGGGGCTCCCGCTCTCCTTGGGGGACCATTTTGTGAGTCAAATGTAATTACAGATGGAAATGGAGCCTTCTCCTTTTATCCGGGCTCGCGAGGAGCTGGCAGTTTTATTAGATTTCCCAGGCACTAGGCGGAAAGCGGGTGGTTGGGTGGCGATTCTTTTCTTCCTCTGCTCCTTTTAGCCCTCATGGGATCAAAGCCAGGCCCCAAGGCTCTGTCGCTCAGTCGAGGTGCTGGACTGGGGTGGACAGTGCTAGTTGACGGAGGTGGCCCCCCTTGGCCCTCATTCTGCCCCTCCAGTCCTGCTCTGGCCGGGCCTCTGCGTGGACACCCCTCTCTCCGGCTGTCCCCACACTTTCTCGGCCTTTAGGTCTCTGCTGAGCTGTCACTTCGGGGAGTGCCCCGAGTCCACTAACACGTCCCCCCAAACTGCCTTCTGCTTTCCTTAGCATGTAACACTTAGGTTTGTTAACCAGCACTGCTAACCAACTTTGCTATCCAGGTGTGTTAACCAGGTTTGTCGAACTTTGCCAGCTCGGTGTGAGCTGACACCCTCCTGCTGCCCGTCCTGGGGTGCACAGCCTGTGCAGCCGACCTGGAGTAGGGCAGGTGGGGGCTGCAGCGGGGCGTAACAGGGGAGTGGCTGGGGGCCGCCGGGGCACCGCCATATCCGCGTTGGGTGGCTCCAGTGGCCTTGCTTCTCTGAGGAGCCAGCACCTGGGTGTCGAGCTGAGCAAGGGCACATGGTCAGGGCTGAAGAGATGACCGATAGGGAGGCTGGCACAGGAAAGAGGTGAGAGCTTTGGAGCGAAGCTGCCGGTTTGAGTCCCGGCTCCACCACTTACTAGCTCTACAGTCTTGGGCCAGGGACTGGCCTTGTCTGAACCTGCTCCCTCACCTGCGGCCTGGGCTGCGATGCCGTAAAGGGCACAGAACAGTCCCTGGCACACAGCTGGTGCTCAGGGAGCAGGGCAGGGTCGTGGGTGACCTCTGACCTGCCTTCCTGAGTTGTTTGCATCTAGCTGTGTGGCCTCAGGCTAGGAAACGGAGCTTCTGAGCCTCGGTCTCGTCTACAAAGTGGGTTTTACAACACCTGTCTCAGTGGGCAGTACAGTGTCATTCCCACATTTGTGGACGGTCAGCACTGCCCCTGCCCCTGAGTCCCACCACCTCAGGCCTCTCAGGGCCCTGGGTGGCAGAGGTGAGAGGCCTTCAAGACCAAGCTCCAGCCAGGACACTTCCTTGCCAGGATTACGCAGCCAGGGCGGGTGTCCAGAGGCCTGACCGGGTCCCCCTCCGCTGATGCCCTGCAGCCCGAGGAGCTGACAAACATCCTGGAGATCTGCAACGTGGTCTTCACCAGCATGTTCGCCCTGGAGATGATCCTGAAGCTGGCCGCCTTCGGGCTCTTCGACTACCTGCGCAACCCCTACAACATCTTCGACAGCATCATCGTCATCATCAGGTAGCTCCCTCCACCTGCTGGCAGTGCCTCGCGGACAGTAGGTGACAAAGGAGGCCAGCCACACTCAAACACAGCGTCCAGCTATCTGGAAGCTCGCGCAAAGTCGCGTACAAACTCGTGTTCTGCCATGTCAGGCAGCGAGATCTAGCGGCAGGCCCTGACTGCCATCCGGGACGGGTGAGCGTGGGTGACAGTCCGGTCCTGGGGCACCCGGAGTCACAGGACTGCTCCCTGTGGCTTGGTGTTTATGTTCAGAACCAACAACAGAAATGGGAAATCTCAGAAAGAGGGTGCTTTCGTGGCCTCCCTGGGTTCTAGCCAGACCCCTGGGGGCATCTGTGGGCCGGTTCAGTGGGTGCCGTGGGGCAGTGTCCAGCGTATTTGTTGGCTGGCTGGATGAATGAACAGAAGCGCTCTGTCTCTCTGTCCTCCCGGCCCCTCCTCTCCTCCGGCCTCCCTGCCGACCTTGCCGTGCCCCCTGCGACCCTAGCATCTGGGAGATCGTGGGGCAGGCGGACGGCGGCCTGTCGGTGCTGCGCACCTTCCGGCTGCTGCGGGTGCTGAAGCTGGTGCGCTTCCTGCCCGGGCTGCGCCGCCAGCTCGTGGTGCTCATGAAGACCATGGACAACGTGGCCACCTTCTGCATGCTGCTCATGCTCTTCATCTTCATCTTCAGGTGAGCCCTGACCCGGGCCGGCCCGCGGGGCCGTGGGCAAAGCCTGGGGCGGGGGTGCATTGGCTGAGCTCTAGACACCCCTGGACCCAGGTGCGACTCCTGGTCCCGGCCCTCCAGCCCCTGTGGCTCTGGGCAAGTCCTTCAGCCCAGGTCTCCGTAATCACCTCTGTAAAATGGGGCCGACGCTGCCCGCGTGCCGCCGGCCCTCTTACCGGGTTTTCCCAGAGAAGGAAAGGTGGTGGGTGGGCCGAGCGCGTGTGCGTGAGTCCCTTGAGCGGCCTCCGTCCTGCCCCCAGCATCCTCGGGATGCACATCTTTGGCTGCAAATTCAGCCTCCGCACGGACACAGGAGACACGGTCCCCGACAGGAAGAACTTCGACTCCCTGCTGTGGGCCATCGTCACAGTGTTTCAAGTGAGTGGCCGCCAAGTACCCACATGTGCCGGGGAAAGGCACCGAGCCTGTAGATGGGGGCTGCCCAGAAGCTGGGCCTCGGCCAGGGGTACCCCAGGTCTGACCTGTGCCCCCCAACAGATCCTCACCCAGGAGGATTGGAACGTCGTCCTCTACAATGGCATGGCCTCTACCTCCCCGTGGGCCTCCCTCTACTTTGTTGCTCTCATGACCTTCGGCAACTATGTGCTCTTCAACCTGCTGGTGGCCATTCTGGTGGAGGGCTTCCAGGCGGAGGTGACTGTGTTCCTGGCGGTAGAAACAACCTCCATAGGGCCTGCAAGAGACTAGTGGGGGTGGGGAACTGGATGAGTGGATGCGCTGGAGGAGGGAGGGCTACAGTTCAAATTTCAAACAGGCAACGTGTTCTCAAAGAGGGTTGCCCATGCGGTGGTGAGCCTCCCATCATGGGAAGCATGCAAACAGAGGCTGTGTCTGGGATCCCTGCCTCTTCCCCATGGGTGTAGGAGTAGGCTTCTCTAAGGGCCCCAGGATCTGGGTTCTGGATCCTGCGTCCTGCATTCTCTGCAGCTCTGGGGACGCTGGCAGCCAGGCAGACGTAGCCTAGGTTGCGGCCTCGGTTCTCATTGGTATCCCACTTCCCTTTTCTGACCTCAGTCTCCCCTCTGTACAACAGCAGCGGAAGCATTCGGGAGGGAGGTGGGAGGGAGGAGGGATTAAGCCGTCCCCCCCCCAAACACCCCCATTTCTGTATTCCAACGCGAGGACTGTTCAACAGGGTGACGCCAACCGCTCCTACTCGGATGAGGACCAGAGTTCATCCAACATGGAGGAGTTCGACAAGCTCCCCGAGGGCCTGGACAGTGGCGCAGGTAAACAGGCTTTTCTTGTCACCGAGGGGCTGGGAGCCTTCCCCAGAGACCCAGGTGGGCCAAGGGCCCAGCACCTGGCTTCCCCAGCCCAGGCTCAGGTGCTGATTCCATTCACGATGGAGAGAAATGCGAAATCTCAGGACCGTGGTATCCCTGCCCCGGTAGTGGCTGCAGCCCCCTGCTCCCCTCCACCCTCCACACAGCGAGGCCTCTGATTAGAGATTTGGGGCCTTATGGCCCAGCTGGGGTCCCGGTCCTGCCTCGCACCACTGGGCAGCTTGGAAAAGCCTCCTGCAGCCCAAGGCCTGGTCCGCTCAGCAGCCTGGGCAGACAGTCGGCCTTGCTTCCCGCAGGGGACACAGGAGTGAGGTGCCCATGCCGGGGGGCGCTGTGCGCTGACCCTCAACACCGGGCAAGGCTTCCACGTGTACGGAGATAAGGCTGGGAGCCTGCAGGCCTGCTGATAGGGTGCAGCGGGGGACTTCCTGGTGGAGGACGTCCCCCCAAACGCCCCCTTCTCTGTTACACACGTGTTGGTTTCTCTGACTCACACTTCTCTCTTATTTTGTCTGTCTTCTGTCTCTCCCGGTCTCCGTCTCACTCCTCAGATCCCAAGCTCTGCCCCATCCCGCTGACCCCCAATGGGCACCTGGACCCCAGCTTCCCGCTGGGTGGGCATCTGGGTCCCACGGGGCCTGCGGCCCCCACACCCCGCCTCTCGCTGCAGCCGGACCCCTTGCTGATGGCCCTGAGCTCTCGGAAAAGCAGTGTCATGTCACTGGGGAGGCTGAGCTACGACCAACGCTCCCTGGTGAGTCTTCGTGGGGTTCCCTGCATGGGTGCTCCCTGCTGGGGTGTGTGGAGGGAACCTCAGGAGAGGCGCCTACCGGCCCCGCCTCCGACTGGGTGCCGGACCGGGGCAGCAGACCGTCCAGCCGAGGACCATGTCCGCTACACTCCTGAGTGCCCGCGCCGGAGCAGGACCAGGCAGTGAGGGACGGACGGATGAATGGTGGCCGTGGGGTCCGGGCGGAGAACTGGGTCTTCCCCTTGGCAGCAGCACGCAGGGAAAAGAACTGGGCTTTGAATCTGCCTCTGCCACCTCTGAGCTGTGTGGCTGTGAGCAAATGCCTGTCCTTCGCGAGCCTGCTTCTTCGTGAAGTGGGAAGATGGCACTAGTGGCCTCATCTTCCTCGCGTGAAGGGAGGTGGCAGGAGGGAATGTGACAGGGGCGGACGTGCCACACTGCTCTGCGGAGGGAGTGAGAGGCAGGGTAGGGAGAGGACCTCTAGGGTCCTGCCCACTCGTCACCCACTGGAGGGGGGTGCTGTCAGGACCACACTGGGGCATGCCGCTGCCTTCAGGGACCCTCCCCCTGACCCGAGCTGCTGGCCTCCTCCCAGTCCAGCTCCCGGAGCTCCTACTACGGGCCGTGGGGCCGCAGCGGGGCCTGGGCCAGCCGCCGCTCCAGCTGCTACAGCCTCAAGCACAAGCTGCCATGACCAGCCTCAAGCACAAGCTGCCATCGGCTGAGCATGAGTCCCTGCTCTCGGCGGAGCGAGGCGGTGGCTGTGGCGCCCGGGCCGGCGAAGGCGTCCGGGACGAAGGGCCGCTGCGCACTGCGCCCCTGCACGCGTCCCACGCCCACCACTCGCATCATGGTTCCCACCTGTCACACCGTCACCGCCACCACCGCCGGACACTGTCCCTCGATACCAGGGACTCGGTGGACCTGGTGGAGCTGGTGCCCACCGTGGGCCCCCACCCCCGGGCGGCCTGGAGGGCTGCGGGCCTGGTCCCCGGGCATGAAGACTGCAATGGCAGGATGCCCAGCATCGCCAAGGATGTCTTCACCAAGATGGACGACCGCCGGGATCGCGGGGAGGACGACGAGGAGATCGACTATGTGAGCCCACGGGGAGGACGGAGACGAGGAGGAGGGCGGGGCCTGGGGCGGGAATAGAGAGGGCGGGCCCTGATGGGCGTGGCCCTGGTGGGCGTGGCCCGTGGGGAAGAGCCGCATGTGGCAGGAGGGGTGAGGCCAGAACGGCCCATCCCTGGGCCCGGCCACCCCTGGGAAAGACCCTGGGAGAGGTGAGGGCTCGGAGGCCCCCCAGGGTCCCCAGGTTGCTGGAGGGCCGGGGCAGGGGAGGCGGGTAGCTCTTGCGGAGCTGACCCTCCGGCGCTGCGTCCTCTGCCCTGCAGACTTTGTGCTTCCGAGTCCGCAAGATGATCGATGTCTACAAGCCGGACTGGTGCGAGATCCGTGAGGACTGGTCTGTCTACCTCTTCTCTCCGGAGAACAGGTGCGCAGGGCCAGGCTTGGGCGCAGTCAGAAGAAGGGCTGGAGTGTGGGGTGAGAGATCTCTGCCAAGTCAGGCGAGGCCGCTGGTGGTGCTCGTCATACCCCAGAGGACATTCCTAGCCTAGGGTGGGGGGTCTACAGAGAAAGGGCAAGGCCCAGACAGCCGAGCTTGGGCTGTGCTGGGCATGTCCTCCCTTCTAGGCCGCCCTGTGCGCGACATCCTCAGATGGTGGTTAAATGCGCCTTCGCTGGAGGGAACTGAGGTGGCAGGAGATGTGGCCTTTCTGTGGACGTGCCACATGTTCTCATGAGTGGAATGAGAGGCAGGGCAGGGGGAGGGCAGGGCGTCTAGCCCATTCCATTACCTACTGGCCAGATGGGTGGCCCTCTCAGAGCCGCAGGGAGGCTCACAGCTGGAGCTGGGGCATCAGAAGGCTTCCTGGAGGAGGGGGCTTTGGAGGCAGAGAGCATCCCAGGAGGTGTGGCGTGTGAGGAGGAGTATGACTCGGAGGACTCCTGGTGGGAAGACGTGGCTGGTCCAGGGTGGGGAGTGCCTGAGGGCCAAGGCAGAGGGTTTCAGGCAGTGCAGGGGCTCGTGGTGGGAAGATAGAGGTCAGCGGCTGCGGCCAGTGCCTGGAAGGCCTTGATGTGCGGTCAGCGGAGGGGGTTCCAGGAGGGCACCCTGAGCAGATGCAAAGCTGACACCTATGTGGCAAGAGCAGAAAGGAGGAGTCACTTCCTAGAGGCCACTTTCATTTCCACTTGTGCCGGGCCCTCTGCCATCCTCCTGCTCGGGTGGGCAGCACACTGACACTCAGGTGGCCCTGCCCACCCTCTGCAGGTTCCGCGTCCTGTGTCAGACTGTCATCGCCCACAAGCTCTTTGACTACGTCGTCCTGGCCTTCATCTTCCTCAACTGCATCACCATCGCCCTGGAACGGCCCCAGATCGAGGCGGGCAGCACTGTGAGTGACTGCAGCTGCTGGGCAGGGCAAGGGGCGAGGCAGAGGGGCAGAGCAGCTCCGGCCAGTACCTGTAGGCGGAGGGCGCTGGTAGGGGGCTTGCCTCTGGAGAGGGAGGGTGCCCCGAATGGACACGCTGCCTCTCCTGGTGTCCTTTGGTCCAAGCAGAGGCTGACAGGCGGCGAGCAGTGCTGGGCGCCCCTGGGCCCACGTTATCTCCCTGCCGTTTCAGGAACGCATCTTCCTCACCGTGTCCAATTACATCTCCTGGCCCCCGCCCAGCCCCTCGCCCCACTTGTCACTAGCCTGCCCTCAGCAGCCTGCCAGCCACAGGGTTGGGCTCCTAGACCTAGAGGGGTCGTCTGCGTCCCACTCGCCGGGAGACCCCTCCCCACCCCACCAAAAAGGTCGATGCAGGCGGCGTTGCCAGGGCAATGGTGGGGCGTGCTGAGGTGTGGAGAGCAGGTGAAGATTCTGTCTGGGATGCTTCCCAGAGCGGCGGCCTCACACTGGGCTTGCCA